TTCACGACAAAACCTGTATAAACGGCTGGAGGCAAAACTTGGTTGTTTTGTGACTCGTTCCCAGAAATCGAGGAAACGTTCGAGCAAAAAGCCGACGGAACAGGATTTTGTATCGACATCGCCAAATCTGGACGCGTTAAGAAATGATAAAGAGGACGCCGCCACCGCAGCCGAGTGCAAACTGCATGGCAAACGAAAAAATCACAACAAGACCAAACAACGAGCACACACTTCCTTACAAGAAGACATTTTGATATATTATTAACATCTCGGGTGAGATGGCCGTCCAGGAGTTTTATATCCGAACATTACAATGATAGTAAAAAAAGTTACATCAGAGTGATAGAGCATAATTTCCTATGTTATCTTACCGGGCATCGTTACACAGTGATGACTTGCATAATATCTTCATCTGGCAAGACTTTGTCGATGATAAATATTGCGCTATCTGCTGTGTCGGGCTATTTAGCATGCGACAGCTGGCTGGGAATAAAGAGACCAGTAATAGACCACGATTGCAATATCGATTATCCAATACGAATTTTGATAGGTGTCTTCAAAATGCGGTGTTTGTGCGCGGTGCGAATAAGTGTACGTAAATGATGCTATAATGCGTATGCGTGCGTGAGTCACGGATGTTCACATGTGCATGTGGAAATAGCCTGTAAGTTTGTACAAATGTTGAGATACACGGTCGTATAGTGCGGTGTTGTGTGGCGATCTTCACGACAAGTCGCCGCCGACGGCCAGGGAATGCGACCGGCTGGCGCAACAGTGCGTACCGATGTATCGATATTTAATTAATTTTCTTCCTCTACAATTATTATAACATCGATAAAAGTGTTAAGTTTATTTATTTTTCATATCTATTATGACAAATGGGTAGGCCTCGAATAATTAAATTAAAATTAATTAGTACATAATGACGTAAACGAGTAATGTTTTGATCAATAACCGAAAATTATTTTAATTATAAACCTATAAAACGCATCATAACTATTTCCTTTTATGGTTCGAAAATAGATTTAGTAGATTGAAATCATCAAATTATTCAGATTTATGTATACGGCGAATAATTGCATAAAAAATTGGATTTATGACCCCATTTAGAATAATTTTGTTGAGATAACGACATGTTTGCGCAATAACAGCGAGAGATATCCTTAGATTTTAATTTTTTTAGAACATGGACGAGGTCCATTCGAAAAATGTTTTGCCGTACGATAAAATGCTTGACATATCAAGCGGCGCGCATCTCTAAGGGCGAGACTGAGCTGGCGCCGTGCTTTTTTACCCCGGCTGACTCCGGCCAACTTTATACCACGCTTCGTTCGCCAGTCGAGCGCAACCAGTCCGACGGGAGGGATGTGCGCACCGTCGCATTCAAACACTTCCGAACGTGCGCGTTCGTAACAAAATGACAATAGTGCTTTAGTTTTTTTTTACTTGAAACAAAACTGTGTCTTATAAAGTGCCAATAAAAGTTGCCTTCAAGTGTTTTCAACCAATGAAAAGGATTGTTTTATTGAAGTTTTAATTGGATTTGACTTAAGGATATAGAGATGTCGAGTTTCACGACTACTGGAGATGCTACGCAGGCTGCTGTTAAAGGTTTGTTCATGGTTTTTGACAATTGCAATAAATTAGTGATGTTAAAAATTATCGATACTTGGGTTAATTAAGGTCAAGCACTAGTTACATAAGTGTCCTTCGAGTTGATGCTGTAGCACTGTTTGTTGTAAACTTGTACTTGTATCACTTGTATAACAGTTTGACTTAATTTCTTAATATAATTCTGGACTAAAATAACATTGACTTGTATAAAAATATTCCCTTAACTTGCATAGGTTTTTTTTTTGAAAGGGATATCATTGGTATCAAAGAAGGTCAGAGATAGCAGTAATGGATACTTCATGGAGTTGATTTTAAATTTAGAATATTGTTTCTAACACTTGTTTATCCTTTATTAAAATCATTAACGTTGTTATTATTGTTGTTGAATAGAAGAAACCATTGAGGGAAGCGTTGAGAAATAGTGAACATATTATTGGAAGACTAGATCTTTCAGGACATTAAATAGTTATTCATAAAATCAATTGTTCCTTTCCTATAATTATAGGCGTAGAAGAAGGCATGAGTTTAATATTTTACGGTACTCATGACAATTAATAAAACAACCACCACCCCTCTGAGAAACTCAGACACATTTGCCTAGAAATAATTCCCAAATCAAAACACCGAAGACAAAATAATTCAAAATAACGATCACACAAATAAAATCACTGCACAGCGATTGGTGCAAATCTTAGCATCCTGGAAGCTTAAGCACCAATCGTATCAAAGTGTATCTTAGAAATCGTCATACACTTTTGCATAGCACGAATGACATAAGCGCACGATTTTAAATTGCTGTAAAAGGTAACAATCCGGAAGTTCAACTTCTAATAGAGTTGAATTGTCATAATGTGCCCATACAAGGACTGTGACATTTGCACCTATGTCCTTATAATTTGGTTCAACGTTAATGTCTAAAAATTAGCAGTTTGTGTTCTTTTGTTATCATTTTAGAGTTTATTTTTCTTTGGTTTTGTCTTTTGCGGATATTTTGCTAATTGATTAAAATGGATTGTGAATGATGAAGTTGTGACGTTTGATTCGTTTCGATGATTTTGTTTGGGAACTTGGAAAGTTTACGTTTCAGTAGAATTGGGGACAGATTTTTGTTAAATTTTAAATAATAGTTAGGTATCCGTATTTATTTTAGTAAACTGTGATACAAATAATAAACTGTTGTCCTTTAGGGATTGACTTTGTTGATTTTCACAAATGTCGATTAAATATTTTAAGTTCATTATCGGATAAATTATTGATAAGCGCGTCAAATTAAGAATGAAGGTTGTACCGATTGACAAAATTTAATTCATTATATTACTACCTATTTAAGTACCCTTTATCTTTCTCCCTTTTAAAACAAAAATCTCATAGTTAAATGTATCAATACATACAACCTAATTATTAATATTCCTAACACAAAACAAACGGTTTCATCGCACAAAAAACATGCACATGTTAAGGGTGAAAACCCTAACAAGTGAATAACATTACAAACATTATAATTACCACCATATCCTTCAAATATAACTCTTGTACCATTGAGATAAAAGTCTTGTTTAACATATGGAGTGATGCTATTAAGTTGGTATGTTTGTACACATGTTGCTTTACGGGGGTCGAAAGGTTTGGATAGAAGTTTTTTTTAAATCCCTGTGTCCCAACCCTTACGACAAGTGTTATTGGTAGCATAATTTAACATTAGTTCTGTTTGAGTTCCAAATTATTTGTATCAATTACTGTTATTATGTGTAATGGTTGGAGATGAAGACAGAGTCGTAAAGTTGGATGGGTCCCTCGTTATTAGACGGTCTAAATTTTAATGTTTTATAATCTGGATATTCATAAAAGTCAAAGTCAAAATCATTTATTTCAATTAGACCAGGAAGGCACTTTTGAACGTCAACAACAAAAAATTTTTAGAAGTGAAGCTAGTTGCTCATTCTAAGGTGTAGATTCCTATGGAGAAGAACGAGCAAGAAACTCCATTAGGTTACTCTTTTTCAATCGGGTTTACAATACAATTCTCTAGTTACATAGTTTTGTTGGTTCGATTTTTCGTAAATTAGCACTAAAATGGTCTTTCTGTGGCACTGGTATCATCACCGTCATCCCGCTAAAGACGTCCACTGCTAATCAAAGGCCTCACCCAAGTCTGTCAAAGCACGCGACATCTAATAAAGTCGCAAAAATCAACCTTAATAAGATAAGAATAGCAATTTAAATAGATTACTTAGCGAATTAGTATCCATGCGCTAGTGCACGTGTTACCCATAAAGAAAACAGTTGTTTTTTAACGCAACTAATCATGACGTTACAAAACCTTTAATTTGAAGAAGATAAAGCCTTTGAAAAATAATATGTTTTCATTAAAGTACATACTTACTAACAAACAAAATTGCGTTTTTGACGGTCCACAAAGCACAATAACAAAAACTGATTTTTCTCTCAGCCACTATGATAAGGATAACATAGCAACATCACCAATCATTAAACAAATTAGGACAACGACAATTCAACGTTACCCTAAAACACGCAGCGTCAAATTAATCTGTACAATTTGAACGGTTCTATAAATCAACAGTAGCCAAGCTACCCTTTAGCTTGTAATCAATAGAGATACATATGTCACACAGACTACATCTGGCAATAGGGTGCCACATCTGGTCTCCAAACGCTGTGACGTCATCCGTCATGTGGCGACAAACAGTCCCTTTATTGCCCGATTGTACTTTTTTATTTGTCCGACCATTTCGTTATGATATTTGACACGTTGGACGAATTCGATACAGTTTTTTGTGATGATGTAATTATTTCTAGTATAGGTAATGTTTCAGATTAGGATGATAGGTTAGCATTAAGGTAGCAGAAAGGCTTAGAGAAAGACATCAGAAGTGTCTGACACTGTGTAAAGTTCTCCGAAATGTTGTTCAATAAGCAAGTAAACACAGCATTCTAAACTAAACTATAACCATTAATAAAGATAAGATATATTTTCAATTGAAAAGTCACGACGAATTGCAGGAATTTGTCGCCAAATCCATTATCTGGTTATGAATGATGAAATTTTTCCAGGTGGTTTGTCATTCATTAAATTATCGGAACAACTTTACTATCGAAAAAGGTAATTAATCGCGTGATAATAATATGAATTACAAGAATCGGCCAGCTGCGATTATTTGAAAAATCAATACTTTTTGTACCTAACGATAAATCGTAATCAGTAGGTATCGGTAACACACGTATCGATTAAAACGATTCACGTAAAGATTATCTGATTAACGAGGATTGTCTAATTGTACTTTGTACTTCATGTATCACTGTAGGTGCGTTTAGTATACCTACATTATGTATATTTTTATTAGCTTTTCAAATATGTTTTTACCCGCATGTCGAAAACCAAAAACCACAACTCCTTACTGATGGTAAGTTGTATCTTTTATGTGGAAGAAATACTGAGTTATGAACTAGAATTACGACATCTTTTTCCATACCTATATTTCATAGAGAAAGATGTCTATGCAGCTTCCCAAGCCTCTAACTGGCTCCACTATAGTAGAATCCGTCTAACTACATACATTTTTTTTAATTTAGTGTGGACAAAGTTTATTATTTGTCAAACACCAACTGCAAACAAAAATATTTATTTCAACACTTCAAAAACTACTCGAAAGATTTCGATGCGGTTTTTGTCATGTAAACAGACTCTTTGGTGGAATCGCTATAAGTGTTGGTAATAAAAAATGTGGTGGTGCAAATCCGGGCTCAGTTTCTAAGCTAAAAATAACCTATCATAAAATGTGTCTACTGAAAACAATGACGAGAGCTGTGCTAATGTAAAAACATTACACTTTTTGTTCCTCGGAGTTAGGTACACAGATGTGCACTGCACATGTTAGAAGTAAGTAATTCTTCAAACCTTCAAGAAAACCGCGCGAGGGGTAACGGGCTATTTGGTTTAAGCGACATTTTGGGCGATATTGAGTTATATATATATTCGGAATCAGCGAATTTTTCTCCGTCGAATGATGCCGGTTTCATTAAAATCGGAGCACTTTTTTGGCGTTTCAAACAATTCTATTTTCATGTTGTTTCTAAAGTGGCAGTGTATTAAACGACATGGATTTCGCATTTTTTATTAAATTATGTACTTGAACCATACCATCATATTAATAACCGAGACATAAACCAGTCACCCTATCTCTAATTATTAAGTCAACACGAGTTAAAGCGTTTTTCTTGTTTCTAATTTTTATTAACAAGTAACTTGAATCATTTTGACTTCCCACTGATCACACGGTGTGATGTCGCTTAAAACATTTGTCCGTCATCCAAATGCGTCATGGTACGTCTCTTAAACATTTCTAGCTGCCTCTATTTTCTACGCAGGGTGCTACTTAAACCAAATAGTTGTTTTCGTTCAGATATTTTGTTTAGTCATAAACCATTTAACCCTCATTTTTTTTTAAATGCATGTCGTTTTATACAGACGTTAACATTGATAATGAATATGAAACATTTTTCCAGTTTTCATAGAAATACGAGTCGGTCTTTCAATCACTAAGTTTTAATATGGTACATTTCAATCATGTCATATGATACCATATTTATTTCATCGCTCGGGTGTTAAAAATCGTTACCATCCAACTGGACTATCGTGCGCTGGCGCTTCAGTCACTCCAGAGTGCGCCGAAGACAGACGGGACGCGCGCACACCGCCAGTGTTTACGTAAAACGCTCATCGAAATTGAATCCTAAGTACTTTAATTTCAAGATGAACCTCGCGGTCGTTCGAAGACTTTGGCAACAATGACAATTTAAGGGCTATTGTGGAGGTTGATGACATACAATCTACGGCTGATTTAGCAACAGCTTTCGACGTTAGCGTCAAAACAATATTAGTACATTTGCGTCAAATTGGCAAGGTAAAAAAGCTTGATAAGTGGGTGTCCCACAAACTAAATGATCAACAGAGCTAAGTATGCATCGAGCCGTGCGAGGGGGACTGGGATGCCGTCTCCTCCTTTTGCGAAGCAGTTATGCTAGCTAAGGAAGAGGCGGGACGCGTGAGGCAGCGAAGCGCTGCCTCCTCGCAACCCAGCCATCGCGAAGGACACACCTGGCGTCGGGGATCGCGGGATCGGGGGTCGTAAGCGCGGGCCTGCGGACGGTGAGCATTGGTGGCTCCCCGTCCGACCAGAAACAGACCCGAGAGTACGGCGCGTCGCGTTCCGCGCGCGCCTCAAAGAGCCATCAGACCACCACAGATGGGGCCCAACAGGGTCGATGCCGATTCGGAGTCGCTGAGAACCTAACGGGTAACCGGGGCTTCGGCTCGACGTGCAGGAGAAGAAACGGGGCGATTTTTAGTCAGTAAGAGTCTGACACTCTTTCCCGCGTCACCCAGGCGGGAGCATACATTCGATGATTTTCCACCCTTAAAAAAAAGCATCGAGTAGTGCCTTGCACTGCACTGCTCAATATACACACAAATGAAAGAATTTTGATTTGCATTGTCACCTCCGATGAAAAATGAAATCTGTGTGATAACCACACGCGTTTAGCATGTTGGTTGAATCCTAGTTCAGCACCTAAACAATGCCCTAAACGAAAACTTACCCCTAGAAAAGTGATGGTCACTAATGGTCTAGCGCTCGCGCTATTCTGATTCATCACAAATTCTTACCAAACGGAGTGAGCATTACCTACTACGGATGTGTAGTGTGAAGAACTGAACACAATGATGGAGAAGCTGACACATCTCCAACCAGCACTGGTCAATCGCTAATCTCCATTGCTCCTGCATTACAACGCGCGACCTAAAGCTGCACAAGAGACGGCCTCCACGTTACAAGAACTGGGGTTGTGAAGCTCTCCGACATCCACCCTACTCACCAGTCACCAGACTACTTTTTCCAGAATTTGGATAACTTCTTGGCGGGAAAAAATTTAATAACCGAGAGGCAGTACAAAATGCATTTGGAAAATTTGTTGCTACCCGTCCAGCTGATTGAAGAAGGGCATCAATAAACTGCCACTGCGTTGGCAACGATGCATTGATTGCATGGGTGGTTACGTTGATTATACCTACAAATAAAAAATACATGAAAAAATCGTTTAAATTTTTTCATACAAAACGGCAATTTCAGTAAATGACCCATTAATTTAATTGATTTTGCTGAAATATAATCGATATTCCTATTGAAACTGTAATTATTACTTTAAATAAATACTTTGATATTGTGTTGTGTTTATTTATTCAATGTAAGCATCTGAGATTTTCGGTGATTGCGATATATCCAGGTTGTTTTATCAGCCATTAATCGCCTTAGATGTAAATAAACATAAACATTAAACGTTATAATTTCAATGTTATATGTCACATAAGTAAATTAGCCTGTCACTCATTTTAGTCTGAATTGGTAGTTAAGATAAATAGCTTGCTTCTATTAATTTTGGGTTTCGTCACTTCATATTTTTTAGCTTACTCTGTAAATAGAGTGCATTGTCGCTTAATTTTTTTCCCTTGTAGCCAATTTGTAGTTATGAAGTCACTTAAATCATTTTTCCTGACTCTAAGAAAGGGCAGAATGTATTAAGCGACATTTATCTTTGTAATTAAAGGTCCGCTTTATTTAGAATTAGCATCAGCAACTAGATAATTTAATTTAAATTTCAATGCAATTTACCCCGTTCAAATAACTGCAGAAGCGTTTTTGTTACGAATTTTTTTTCGAAATTTCAAACTTTAAAAGGCTCTCCTGTAAAGTTGCAAAAATGTCGCTTAAACCAAATAGCCCGTTACCCCTATTCCTTTTTAAAAGGCCGGCAACGCACCTGTGCCTCCTCTGGTGTTGCGGGTGTCCATGGGCGGCGCTGATCGCTTACCATCAGGTGATCCGTCTGCTTGTATTCCATAAAAAAAGTATAGCTTAATTTTCACGAGTCACATTTATATCCATACCTCTTAACTAAAAGTTACTTAGCGTGATGTAGCACCTAAATTAACCCCTTACTTGTACTGTTAGGTGTCAATTATACATTGTTGAAAACCAAAACGTCGTTGAATGTCACCTATCTTAGCTTAGGGGTTCCTTGCAAGAGGTTATAAGAGTACCTAATTAGGGTAGAACCTATTGCCAACTTTAAGTATTGTTCCAGATTCGACATTAGTGCCGATAGCCTGGGAATATGTCTTCAAAATATTTGGTTCGATCATTTAACTGACATACAGGCAACACCTAGTTCAGGAGACAAAGCTTGATGTATTTAGATGTTTGGTATATAAATAAAAGAATTATTATTATTAAAAAAAAACTAAAGAAGCTCATAATGTTCTTATTGTGGTAGTTCTAGCTAGAGACAATAGAACACCAAACGACACGATTATAGCATACCTCGATACTAATATACTTATCAGCTTTATGATATCATGGCGATCGGCTGATGGGATGATAATATGTAGTACTATCTGAGCTGAATGTACTGGTTACCATGTTCCGAGTGCTCAAGTACTCTACTTTGTTTATCGACTCGATAAGATTGCTTTATTTTAGCTTACGTACAATATCGAAATACAATTGTCGATCGTTTTTTCCCTAAGTTTCGGGCATGTTCTTCAATTTGTTTATTATAAGTGTAATCGATAATGACACGAACGTAATCGATACGTACTCTAAATCTATTATTATTCACAGCATTAGAATCTACGTCTTGTTCCTTAGGGCTTTACGAATAATCAGCTACATTTCTCCTTTTTCCAACGTTATCACCTGGTTCATTGATTTTATATCAAGTTCTGTTATTGCATTTACGAGTTTATAATTTTATTGCTTATAACTGGTCCTACCGACATTAGCAGTAGCAGCTCTACGACCGTTTCCTATACCAAGCTACTTAGTTCTATTTTTAAAAAGGTAGCAGAAACCAGAATTCTTTAGCTAATGCCTGGCACATCACTAAAAAGGTAGACATAACATTGGAATTTCTGAACAGAAAATACAAACCACTAACACACATAGGGAAAAAGAAATATTTAGTAAAAAGGTTGGTAACCATTTGTGATAACATTTTTTGCAAGGTTCCGTTTTGTTGCAGTCCACTAGAATTTTTACGACTGGCAATATTTTGAAACAGCATTTATTCACGTGCTTGGGAGCACGTGCTTTCTCACACCGGATGCCTTATAGTTTGTTTGGGCAACATCTAGCGTTGGAGATAAGGTATCGTAACGTACCGAGTTCGTTCTTCTTCGTACTTGAAAAGAAATATCAATTGTTTATTATAATGACTCATGATATCACGGATTAGCTTTGGCAACTATCAGTACTTACCTATCTGAATGTATTTTTGCACGATTCAGGTAGGTATTCATTGATACGTGTGGAGGTTTTATAGTTATCTTTCATTAGTCTATGGGGTACTT